CTGGAGGGCCAAGGGCAGTGTCCCTTACCTTGCTCTGGAAGGCCCATGCCTCTCCCAGCCCCGCCCACCTTCCCAGGTTGTCCTGCTGTGTGCAGCCTCATTTCTTCTGCATCACTCAGGAAGCTCCTTCCCAACTCAGCATCTTGCAGTAGCTCTTGGCTCTTCCGGGAGTGTTTTCTTCAACTCCCTTTGCCTGGATTCTCGTTCAAATCTCAGCCAAGATGGCACCTAAGAGCAACCTTTTCTGATCACAGATAACAGAACCTCTGATCCCTCTCATAATTCTTTACTTGCCCTGGCCTACAGTTTTGCAACACACTGCATTCCTGTTAAGGGACTTTTAGTCTCTTCCCGCAGAAATCTATATTTTTCAAGCATGAATTTGATTTTATTTATCACTGTGTCACACACCTAGACTACTTCCTGCTCAAAGAAGTACTGCTCAAATATTTGCTGAATGACTGCTCTCCCCCAAAGAAAGACCCTGAAGTGAAATATATTTTAATATACTTTATTCTAAAAAGATCACAAATTTCAGGTTCAGGTTAAATAATATTTTAGTATTAAAAAATTCACAAAGGAAGGTTTAAAGTTTTTTAATCTAAAAATGCATTCCTGATTTTCAGATAACTCATGCAAAATCTTATGCAGTGATAATTCAACAAAAGAACCTTTTAACCGGTAGTATAAATTGGATGCTATTTGATTTGAAGCAGGTGAGGTCTTCAAATCCCATTTTGAAAGATACCGGAAAAGATCTTGAAGCCACAGACAAAGTTTATTTGAAAACATTGTTTAAAACTGCACAAATATAAATACAATTTCATGTGTAAAAGGGAAGGCATGCTTCCAATAATAGTATAAAAATACTACCTTAATCTTGGTACTTTGCAAATTTTAAGCCATTTGAGTAAATTAAACACATCCAGTATGATGATAGGTTATTTTTATAGTAGTAATTTTATTTCAAAAAGCAATGCAAGGAAAGACTAAGATGAAATCATAATACCCAATGGACTTGTGCTATGATACATATTATTTTACGAAATCACAATACAGTATTATATAATAAGCTAATAACTTTTAAATCCTCCCTTGCTATTCATTCACTATAGATCACTTAATTTCAGTTGGTATTAATTTAGAAACTCAATAAAACACTTAATTTTTTTTCTGGGCTACCTATTTCAGCCTAAAAATGAAATCTCAAGATTTCAAACATTATTGAGCATTAGTGAGGAAGCGTCCTAGAATTTGTGTTAAAATAAAACTTTTAGATTAGATTAGATATGTAATATTCATAGATATACAAAAAATATAGAAATGTGTTTTCTAAATAGTTAATAAATGTTTATTTTGTAAAAAAGTTTACTAAATTAATCAGGTTATTTTCAACAGATGTAAACAAATTTGAGAAACGAAAATTGAAGAGGGTTTGGATTGGATGACACATGGGTGAAGCCAAAGGAAGCTGGTAAAAATTGCGGTTTGGTGTACCTCCTTTCACTCTCGGTAACAGTCACCATGAAAACAATCCTTTTATGCTACCCATGCAAAATATTATAAATTCAGTGAAAATTTCAGATGCTCAAATCACCTACTTGAGTGTGTATATCTCTTAGTCTTTTTCTGTGTCATAGCTTCCGTTGTTGCGAAATTCAAAGAAAAACCCACGCCAAAAGCAAACTACACACATTTTAGTGTTAAGCACAGTGACTTTATTGGTTTTTTTTCTTCTTCGTGTTTTCACTGTAGCTGTTCTAAAAGCATCCCACTGAATCACAGCCTGCAATGCTGCAAGCTGGGGTTCTCTAGAGAAGCTCCCGAGAAAACTGTCCCTAGATCAGAGCGCTGGATTGCCGCATGTTAGTTTGGTATTTCTGCAGAGGCTGCAGGTAGCAGACAGCGTGCACGGGGAAACACTGCAGCAGAGATTGCTAAGTCACACATTTCTATTTTTCTCTTCATTTAACTGTTTAGAGCCTCCACACAAGGCTCTTTGGTGTGTTGAAGGAGTTTGACATTTGAGTTTACAGTGTGTGTGTGTGTGTGTGTGTGTGTGTGTGTGGTATGGAGGGGCACAGGAGGTCGATAAGGAAGCCATGACCAACACAACACTCCTTTTCTCTCTCCATTTCTGGTCTCATATAACACGGCTTACAGAAAAATCAGTATGACAATTTCAGTGTTGATTTCAAGTGACCGTGAAATAATCGCCTAAATTTCAGTCTGTAAACATATTGATCAAATCTAGTTTGCCAAGGGACAGGGACCCAAGTAGCTCACCTGCCATACTGACAAGGTTGTATCAGAGCAATGCTATGGTATCTTACATCGTGTGACATTACGTCGTTCCTAGGTAACTTCCGAAAATTAAGGCCCATGACCTTTGCCTTATAATGATTTATGTGTGTCTGACATTAACCTTCTGGTCTTATATAGAAAGCAGTTTAAAAAAAAAAAAAAGGTATTCCTAGACTTTTAGAAAGATTGTAAAATGTATTATAAAGAATTTAGAGCTCCTATAGTTATATGCTGACATAATGCACATGATTTAGTTCAGTAGCATTCAGACATGTAGATTTGTTTCAGCTTGGATCTGTTGCGACTCAGTTGGTTTTTAAGAGAAGCAGTTGGATGTCTACAGCTAGTGTCTTTAGAGGATTAGCTTGGCACTGTCTACAACACTCACTGCACAAATTGGAAGTGTGAACATCTGTCAAGGTCAGTGCGGTAGCATGAAAACAATCTCAAGGAAAGGGTAACAAAAGCAAGTAGCAAAACTGGAACGCAGAGTTCATGAAAATTCTCCCTTGTTCAGGAGCAAGGAAAACTAAATTAACATGTGAGACTCAATCATGCATTGTGTAAGTGTACATTCAGTAAAGTTATCTTGCATGCTTTGGATAATATTTGAATAGGCAGGTTTGTAAGTACTAATGCATGCAATATTTTTGTACCTGAGGTTATATTTTTCTTTTAAAAAATTGCCTGCTTACAAACTTTATTCCAGAGTTCATGTATGAACATTCTTTAAAAATATATTTGTATCTTCTTCTTATTTCAAAACAGTTTAATTTTAACCAGTTCTATAAATACTGACATGAGGGAAATAGTGTGGTAAGATCTAGACAGGGAATGAATTGAAATCGTTTTACAGAGTGGAACTCATGCATGTTGTAGCTGTGTAGTAATTTCTAAAAGAAGAGGGTTTAAAAGGTAGGACATGAATTAAGCCTTCAGAACACCCTGTTTCTAGAGCGCTTCTAGGAGTTTTCATAGTATAAAAATACCATTCCTGTAAGGACTGAAAGCACAATCTAGCCTTGTAGAACTGATTCAGGGATGAGGAATGGATATAAAATGCCCATCTTGCTTTCTCTGTATTCCTGAGGTGCTCACGGATAACATTTATGGTAACCAGCTTGGCATGCCTGAATGGGACTAGTTACGACTGTGTTCAAATCTTGCTTGTATGGCAAGAATATACTAGCGAGGTTTAATCTATGCAAGAATTTAGACATGGACCCAAGATTCAATATTGCAATGTCTTGATATAAAAGGAAGTATCATTAAACTCAGAGTGTACCAGTCCTGGACATTGCTGGCCATCACATGCCATTCTGTCTCGTTTATTTATCACTTCAGTAGAAATCCAGATTAGCTAAGAAATCACACATAATAGTTCCCTTAGTAAACCTGCCTGGAGACAAGGTCTGCCCTTCTTTCTGGAGTCATGGCTAGCGATCTTGGGAGAACGTGGGGAGAATGCAGAGACACTGGGAGTGGCCCAGCAAGGGGATGCTGTGCTCTTTTTCTCCCTCTTCCCCATCTCTCAGTCTCTTCTCACTGTCGAGGTAGCACGCAAAGATACTTTAGAAAGACACAAATAGTTATATTTTGAAACTCAGCAGTAGCTTTGTGTGCATTTTTCATTTAATTTGCTGGCAGTGTCAGACCCTAAAGATCACCTATATGTAATTGACCAGCCATTCTAGTAAACGAATAACATCCTACAAGAATTGGGAGGGTTACTCATTGACACAAGGGGAGAGAGAGAGAGAGAGAGAGAGAGAGAGAGAGAGAGAGAATGCTCAGTGGTCTCAGAGAGACAGACCTCAGAAAAGAACCAGGGACACTATTCTTTTAAATGGAAAGAGTAATTTAAATGAAAGAGTAATTTAAATTTCCTGCCATCAAGAGTTCAAAGGTACTTTGAACAAAAGTGAAACACTAAAAAAAAGTATATAAGGTAAAGAATATTCTAAAATTTCTCTTTCTTCTTTCTTTCTTTCTTTCTTTCTTTCTTTCTTTCTT